CATTGTACATCTGGGGGCTCCTCAGAGCAATTCTTCCAGCCAGCACACTGGCATTCTCTCCCCCAGCCAACCTCTGTAACTTCAGGTGACCTTGGCAAAGGGAGGTGGATGGGATGTGTGTGACCCCGATGGGGTACCACAGGGCTGTGACTGGGGCTTTCTAATGGGGCTTTGCTGTCCCAGTACTTAGGATGTCACACTAACCAACCGCCACTGTCCGTATTAGAAAGGCAACCCTTGTAGGATTCCTTGTAGGATGTGAGTGCCCTGCCCAACTTGTTGCTCAAGCAAAATCTTGTGACTGCTACAGGGACATTACTACCTGAGCATGACTGTTTAATGTTACCTCAGTCACACCAACTCTGTAAGGCTGGGGACTCTCCTGCCCCTCTGCCCTTGCTCTACTCCTTCCCGGACAGGCTGGTGCTGTCTGTGGGGATGGCATTCACTTATTCACTCATTTATGCAAGAAAACATTTATCAAGCACCTATTTTATGTGTCAGTGAATGCATGATCATCTTTCATCTGGATTATTACAGTAGCCTTCTGACGGTCTCCCTGCTTCCACCCTGCCCATCTGCAGTTTATTTTCCACACGGATGCCTGAGGATCTTCTCCTTCTCCTAAAAATAACTTAGATAATGCTACTCCTCTGTTCAAAACCCTCCATTGGCTTTCCTACTCTACTACAGTAAAAGCCAGAGTCCTCACCACGGCCTATAAAGCCTGCAGGATCTGGGCCCCTGCTGCCTCTTTGACCTCATCTCTCTCTCCTAGTCTTCTCCAGCCACGCTGGCTTGCTGCTGTTCCTCCTTCAGCCAAGCACTCCTGCCTCAGGACCTTTGCACACACTGATCTGGCTTTCTAAACTGCCGTCCCCCAGACCTCTTCTACAAGGCTTGCTTCTTTCAGAGCTCTGCTCAGGCAGTATCTTCTCTGGGGTATCTTCCTCGCTCACCCTCTGTGAAATGCACACACACCCTTTGCATTCCCCATCCTTTTGATTTTTTTCCCCATGGCCTCACCACGATGTGGCATTCTCTCTCTATAATTTCCTTGTCTATTTGTTCGTCTCTCCACGCTAGAATATGACCTATACAGGGCGGGCTCTGTTTTCTTTACTGCTGTCCCCCCGCCCCGCCCTGCACCTAGAACAGTTCCTGGCACACAGTGGGTGGATGAATGTGCTGTAAGTACTATGCGGCATGCTACAGAGAAAGAGATGGATAAGAAAAGATCCCTTAGGGTCTTGCCTTTTGGGTGGCGGAAGAGGCGTATATACACAGATCCTTGTAGTGTCACGACGTAGGGTGCTGAGAGAGCACTGCTGAGGGGCCGGGAGAATCAGAAAAGCCTTCCCAGAGCAGGGACATTCGAGCCTGTCTTGCAGGATAAAAGGTGACTGGGGAGAAAGGGAGGGGTCCCCACCCCTCCCCTTGTCCTTCTGCTTCAGTCACACTGGCCCGTGACTATCTTCAATCCCGAGGTACAGGGAATGACACGGTTAAAAGGGAGAGGAACATGTCAGATAAAAGATTTGGGTTTGTGTGCCTCTGATTTAGCTTGGATCATGTGCTTCCTGGAACCAATCACTGAGCCAGTAAGATGGAATGCTCACATTGGCCAGGCCCGAGTCACGAGTCCCTACCCCGCCCTCCCGCTCCATGAGGAAGGGTGGGGAAGGAAATTCACTCGTTAATCACAGGGACTGGGCCTGGGGAAGGGATGGTCCTAAAAGGATAAATCAGGTGCTATTTCCACATAGGGAAATAAATGCTGGGGGCAAAACACGGTTGCCACTTTTGATTTTTCCCACTTTCCTCTTCTCATATCCCTGGTAGCCATAATCTTTGTTCTGGTCTCAGTTTTCTTGTACTCAGGACCTATCACAAACTACCTGCCAGAATCTTTGTTCTGTATCCAGGCCAGGGAGATGCCACTGGACACCAGTGTGAGGGTGTGTGTGTGATGGGGGGAAGCATCCAGGCATGCTGGGCAGGAAGAGCGGGCGTTGAGGGTGTAAATCCATCCCTGGTCTCCTATAGTGAGGAGGCCTGGAGTACCAACAGACCAGGCTTCACATGCAGACTATTAAATAGTCTTTCTAGGTATTTACTGACAAGACAAGTTCTTCAGGAATAAGATCCCATATTCAGAACAACTGAACTATTAAAGAAGAAAACAACTTGCCTACTGCCTTAGTCTGTTCCGTTGCTATAACAAAACACAGACTGGATGACTTATAGATAACAGATATTTCTCACAGTTCTGGAGGCTGAAAGTCTGAGATTAGAGTGCCAAGATTGGGTGGGGGCCCTCTTCTGGGTGGTAGACTTCTCTTGTGTCCTCACATGGCGGAAGGGATTAAGGATCTCACTGGGGCCTCTTGTAAGGGCACTAATTCCATTCATGAGGCTTCCACTTTCAGGACCTAATCACTTCCCAAAGGTCCCACCTCCTAATACCATCACTTTGGGCATTAGTTTTCAACATACAGATTTTGGGAGGACACAAACATTCCACCTGTAGCATTTACTCTTATAAAGCCCTCTCTTTTGCTTCTTAAATGCTCCTCTGTCCTTTAACTGTAGAATGACCAGCCATCCTGGCTGGCTCAGGACAGAAGGGGTTCCAAAGACAGTTTTAAAATTAAGACAGTCCTGGCAAAGCAGAGATATGAAAACAAACAAACAAAAAAAACTGTGTTTTTTAGGACTTTTAGGATTCTGAAATCATGGAAAATTTAAACATGTACTTACAAACTGCGTCTTACCAAAAGGGAGACCGCACCTAGGTGCTGCAGGAAGAAAGAATTGAAATCACCTGTTCCTTAAGTAATTACATCCTGGTTCGATTGTAAGCAAAAGTTAGACTCAGCACATATTTTAATAACCTATTTATTCTAAAATATGTTCCTAATTATTCTCTAAGTATTTCATCTGTTATTGATGTATAACACATAGAGGAAACTGTACAAATCAAAAGACTCAGATCAATGAATTATCATGAAGTTAAGACACCATGTAATCACCACCCAAATAAATCATTTTTTTTAAAGATTATTTATTTATTTATTTATTTGAGAGAGAGAGAATGAGAGACAGAGAGCACGAGAGGGAAGAGGGTCAGAGGGAGAAGCAGACTCCCCGCTGAGCAGGGAGCCCGATGTGGGACTCGATCCCGGGACTCCGGGATCATGACCTGAGCCGAAGGCAGTCGCTTAACCAACTGAGCCACCCAGGCACCCCCAAATAAATCATTTTTAATGGGAAAAAACCCCACATCCAATTACGGAAGAATATTCTTTTTGTCCTCTAAGACATCAGTACTCTGGAAACTGTATGTTCCTTGAGCTAGCTAAAGTGATGCCCATTAGTAGCTACCAGAATGCCAGGTATAACATCAAAAGATAGTCCAGGGGCGCCTGGGTGGCTCAGTCGTTAAGCATCTGCCTTCGGCTCAGGTCATGATCCCAGGGTCCTGGGATCGAGCCTCACATTGGGCTCCCTGCTCTGTGGGAAGCCTGCTTCTCCCTCTCCCACTCCCCACTTGTGTTCCCTCTCTCGCTGTCTCTCTCTGTCAAATAAATAAGTAAAATGTTTAAAAAAAAAAAAAAAGATAGTCCAAGCTCCTAGTGATCCTTATAAATTACAAACGGTTTTTCAGTGATGGAAATTTTTACATAATTAGCATTGAATGTTTAAGTGTTTTCGATTAAATGTTTTTGATAAAAACAAGAGTGTATTTATGACTGTGTAGTTTCCTTTCTTTTGGAAACTACTACTATGGGTTTACTTGGCTACATCAGCCGTTCTTGATTCCAATTTGCATGAGGTTAAAGATAAAATGTAGGTGGAAGGCCCTACATTAGGAGTGATGCAGCTTTATAAATGTTGCCAAAATGATGGTAATGGCTACACACGGTACAAATCTTATTTTTTAGATGATTACTTTTTAAATAGCTAAAAGAACTGAGGCCATCTGACTGATGTATATAGCAGACTAAGGGGGGGGGGGCCCTGGAGGTCCTGTGTGGGCACAAACCAATTAAGTTGAGCACTCAGTGAAATTGCTTTCTCAGCCAGGATGGAGAATGATTGATCACAAGTCAAACCGTACACATGTCAGACTGAAAGAGTCTACAGGTAAATTTGGCCCAAGGCCATTGCCACTTCATTTCTCTGGCTGAAACACTTCAAGTGGTTAAGTGAGTGGGGGAAAGCCAATTAATTCTCCGTACCATGAGATCCTCCAGCTGGGTCTTGCGTTGGTTTCCACTACCATATGGAGGTAAAAAGGACCAATTTCTGGTCTTCATATGCACGACTGAGGTTGGGAAGTCTGCCTGAACAAGTGGTTCTCAACCCCAGTGGACTTTAGAAATTGCTGGGGAGTTCAAAACAACAAAAAAAATCCAGATACTCAGGACACACTCAAGACCAAACACTCCGAAATTTAGGGATGTGGAGCCCAGGCATCAAGCACGTTTAATCAGGTAATTCTACTGGCAGCAATGGTTGACAGGGCTGAGCAGAGTTCGAATCGGTAAAAGCCTCTTCCCTTTGAAGGAAGGGTCCCAAGACCAAACTTGCAGAAGGGCTGTCCCCTCAGCCTGAGGTAATTTCAGCTCGCAGGTCCGGATGTCGGTGGCAGGACTCGGGGGACCGCGCTCAGGTACCGTAGCACCGGCTTAGTAACAGACATTCTCCCGCACCTCTCCCTGGAGACACCCCGCGTGAGCCCGACATCGAGGGTCAAACATGTAGCACGTGGACCCAGAGAAGGCCTGACCACCACCCTCCCGACCCTTCTAAAGGAGGACGTCCGCACTCGCCGAGACCAAGAGCCGAAAGCGCACGCGCGAGCGATGCGAACGGCGGACAGGCGCGGACCTGAGGCGCATGCGCGGACGCAAAGGCGGTGCTTCCGGCAGACGGAGGCGGGGCCTGGGGCACGGTCAGGGGCTGAACCCACGCCGCGACCCCCCACGCGGGCTCACCGGTATGGCCAGGCACGTGTTCCTGACTGGGCCCCCAGGTAACCCCGCCCAGGTCTCCGTTTCCGGGGAGTAGGCAAGGGGGGCGCGCGGGGTGGGGGCGGCCGGGTGCTCTTCGGGAGGGGCGGCTTTATAAAGCTCCGGGGCTCTTGCTGCTGGCCCCTGAAGTTCCCAACTTAAACTACAGGCTTTGTGATCTGAAGCTTCCGTGTCCCTTCTCAGCGCGATTTTAAGTACAAAAGATAGGATTAGAAATGAGGCCGACGCTAGTAAGAAAAAGAACATTGTGGTTGGGCAGTGTGCGGGCTTCTTTGTGAAGGTATTAAAGAACGGGGTCCAGGCGGCAGCGGTGTAACTACGTAGTTTTGAACTTGTGATGGGCACGAACGGTGCTTCAGGATGTCTGCCACAACCGTGATTGACATGGAGGCGTCTGGTTTCTGTTGATAGTGACACGTGCTGCCGGTAATGTGGCTCTGGCCTACATCCATAATGGAAGGAAGCACGGATTTTCACTTGAAGGATAATGAAACTAAAGATGAAACGCCCCCGCCCCGCCCCAGGTTCCCGCAAGGATGAGGCTGCAGGATGAGAAGCCCCTCTCAGATCTTGTGTCTGTGCCTGGCCCCTCTAATGCCAGTCACTGGGCAAAGCCTTCAACCAACCCCGTGGGGCTGTGAATGGGTGGGATAGTATTCATTCAAATGAGAGACTGGAGGAGGAGATGCTCTTTAAACAATGGCCCTACACATGTATCAGGTGTGACTCAGGAAGGTGGTGGCAGCATCAGATGGGCTAAGGCAGAAAGGTGGGCTTGGAGTGGAGAAAGTGATTTATTTCTTCAGCTCCTTTGTAAGGTGGATCTAATGTTTAAGTTAGCGGAGCGTTCAGATATCAAAGATTGTCATTCAGGGCCTAGAGTTGTCTTCCACTTTATTTTAATGGTTACGTTTTGCCTTAGGTAGCAAAGGCGACACTTAATACTGTAGACTTTGGAATTTTATTTTTACCAGGCAATGGGGAAGCTGTGAAGAGAGTGGTCTGAGGAATTTCTAACATCCAACGTACTCCCTAACCTTGCAAAAGACTGTCTTCTGAAAGTTGATTTGTCAGTCCTTTATTTGAAACTGGGAATGCCATCTGCTCAGCAGGCTGGCCCCAAAACATTTACGTGTTTCATAACAGAAGTGATCTGTTACTGTGTTAGTACCTGCCTGGGTCCTGGAAGTGGCTGGGGACAGAGGTTGGTCAGGTCAACACTTGTTCTTATTCCTGTTTCCTTTTCTGTACACACAAAGTTGAAAGACTCAAGTAATTCTACAATATAGCTCTTCTAAGCCTGTCCTAAAACCTAGGCACCCTCTCTTTCTCTTCATCTTCCTAGTGCAGTTAGAGTATAAATTTGATTAGCTCAATACATGTGAGAGCTAATCACAGAAAAGCCATGTAATCAGTAATCTACAGTTTTCCTTTTATGTATAACTTTTTTCCCCTTTGGAGTTACCGTCAGGTTTTTTTGAATAGTTTCTTTCTTTCACTAACTCCGTCTCAAACTCTGCCTGCTGTCTAAATCTAATCGACATATTCAGATCGTCAGGTAATATATCTTCTCAAAGAGGTCGCTTTTTGTTCTGTATGTTGTCAGTGCCCCACCAGTGTGTCCTTAGCACTTAGCATTTTCCCCAACTTCCAACTGTCCAACTCGTGACCGATCTTGGAGGGCTTTCTCCGGTCACTGAATTCTACTGTGCCTGTTCACAGGGTTAGGCCTGAAGGGCCAGGGGATTCCTGTCCCCCAGGAATGTCCGAACCCATGATCGATGGAAGCTGGTGGATAAACTCCCTACTTCCTCACCCCTCAGACAGGAGACCTGAATCCTGTGTCTAAAACTGTCCCCTAGGGATTCCCCAGTGGGCTTAGCTACCCACACAGGTAACTTGCTTGATAATGCAGTACTCCCCTTGGGGTCTTTGGGTCACTTTCCAAATTAAACTACCTGCCCTTGAATCTTTATCTCAGGTCAGCCTTATGAGAGAACTAGAACCCAAAGGATTCTGGAGCTCTCTGACCTGCTTGTTTGGCCTCTGCGTGGTATGGAGCTGTCATTTTGGCGTCTCCTTCAGCATAGGTTACCTCTTAGTGTAGACAGCGCGAGGGTAGCAGCTGAATTGATGGAGGTGAAAAATTAACTGAAAGAAGATTTCTAGAGCTGATGAGGAAGGGGCTTGAGCCAGCGCCTCCTCTCGCTTTCCCGTGTCCTACCCAACATGCAGGACACGCAGCGCCCCCTTTTATTATAGCTGCTCTGTGTTATCTCCTTCAAGATGGAGTACCCCCCTTTTTTTTTACATTTAGGGTAATACCCACTTACTATAAGACCAAAAAAAAAAAAAATCACAAGTTTTAAAGAAGAAAGTGACAATCACATGGAATTGCTATATACAGAAATAAGTGCTGTGAACCTTCCCAGTTCCTTCTCCACATTTCCTTCTGTAGATACATATACTTCACTTTTTTTTTTAAGCTTAATGGAATAATACTGTATATACCTGCTATGTCTTAACCTGCTTTTTCTCCATCTATCCCTATATTGTCTGTTTTCTGTGCTAATAAATCTAGGTAAACCGTATTCTCTTTAATGGCTCCATGGCATTCCTGCATGTTTATATGCCATTATATACCTGGCACCATAATTTAACACTCCCTTACTGATCAACATATAGATTGCTTTACATATCTTGCTGTTACAATGAATACTGACGTAAGTACCCTGTTTCATATATCTTTGTGCTGTGGTCAGATTTTTGCTGAAGGTGAATTCGTAGTGATAGAATTGCTGTGTGCTGTGGAAGGCACATTGAAGTTGCCCTTCAGAAAAGTACCAACTTACATACCCGCCAGTGCTACTGGCCTGCATTAACCAGGTTCTTCAATGACTTTCTTAAAGCAGCAGTTACTGGGGGACGGAGCTGGGATGAAAAGCCTACCCGGTTCTCTTCCAGCCACAGGGAGTGTGTGTCTGGGTTGCTGTTCATGTTCCAAAAGGCCATTGTCTGCTGGTGTGAAGTTGGGAGGAGAGGTTTATTAAAGAACAGATCATAGTTGATCTCAAGGAAGCTTAAAAGGGTTCTTCGGGAACCCTGATGACTCTGTGTCAGCAGCCGTAGAAATAATATGATTTACAACCTTGTGGTATCTTGAAATAGTCTCTTGCAGACTTGTCGGAGGCTTCCCGTTTTTCCATTTTTGGGTCATCATGACGCCATTGCCTTCGATGTGTATGGAACAAGGCTCAGAGAAACGAAGCCATAGGTGACACACAAAGGCCCCTGTTAACATGTATGGTCCTTACTAGTTGTGTAAGCCTGGATAAGTTACCTAACCTCTCTGTGCCTCATCTGTAAAACTGGAACAAGAATGGTAAGTGCCCCAGAGGGGGCGTTGTGAGGATTTAACCAAGGAAATGCTTGTGGAGCGTGCTAGAACAGTGCCCGGCTCCACAAGGCTGGTGATGAGTTTTATTTTATTAGCTCGCACCTGTTGGTGCTTGCAAACACAGAAGAGTCCATCAGAGTAGTTAACAGGCCAGGTGGATGAGGGGGTGGAGGTGCAAAAGTTGTAATTTGGGAAAGGGTTGGGGGCAAGCCAGAGAAATGCTTAGGGACACTGGAGGAGGTCATAGAAGGGGTTACCAACCTGATAGGATTGCTCTTGTGAGAAAGTTTAAAAACTGCTATTTCTAGTGGTGTTAGTGGCATTGAAGAGAGACTTTTTTGGGAGACATAGCAATGTGAGTCCATGGAGGAGTGAAAGGATTTTCCCACTTTTAAGTATAGGTCCAGAGTGTTCAGAAGGTTGAAATCCCAGTTTAAGGTGCCCAGCCTTTGACCCAAGCATGACCAGTTTTACTTCCTGGTGCAAGAGTGTGGCCACCCAAGGAGGAGAGTAAACCTAGTTCTAGAAGCTTGTCTCAGAGGATGCAAATTGCACCTGCTGTCACCACAAAGCCACTCATTTGGTCCTGGGATTGTGTATGTGACAAAATTAATGGTGTTTGGAATTTCAGAATGAAACTTTAAGATCCAATCCGTATTTTTATTATGCTTGAAATTAAAAAGTTTTAATACCTGGAGCAATCAAAATTGAAGTGAAATTAATATTCATAAAAATCGTGAGCAGCCCATTTCTCTCCCCACGGTGATTGCTCTCAGTGAGTCATTGAGTGCTGTGCATCCTCTAGCAAGGGAGTGATTTCTAACTGGCTTTTCTTTTGTTTTGGTTTTTTTTTTTAGGAGTTGGAAAAACAACACTGATCCAGAAAGCCAGTGAGGTTTTAAAATCCTCTGGTGTGCCTGTCGATGGATTTTACACAGAAGAAGTCAGACAGGGAGGGAGAAGAATAGGATTTGATGTTGTCACATTATCCGGCATGCGGGGAGTTTTGTCTAGAATTGGGTACTGGTATTTCATTTCTCTGGTGTTTTATTCTCCCTGGGCACAGGATTGAGCCAAATGATCCCTTCTATCTTGAAGAATCTTCGGCCTTTACAGATTTCTCAAAGAAAACAGAGATTGAAACCATCATATGAAAAAGTATAAAAATATCATATTTCACTTAAAACTTATTCCACCAAGTAATAAATTTTTAGCATTTTGTAACTCATAGTCCTGTTTCCTGTCCCACTTTTCTGTTGTGCTGCCTCCCTGCAGCTTCAGGATTAGCCCCCCAAGGTACCTGCCTGGTGGTGGTGGTGGTGGTGGTATGCACTCTTGTTGGTAGCCCTGTTGTCAGGAGAGAACGTGGAGTCAGGTTAGCTTTGGGTACCACCCCTTCTTGGGTAGGTGATTTTTAAGGGTGACGTAGCATATGTGGGAGGCCCCAGGCTCGCTGGAGTCGCTACAAACTAGAAATCAGTACAGGGGTCTTTCAACAGAGACTGCCCTGTCTTTTCATTCAGGTCAGAGCCTCCGCCCGGAAAACGTGAATGCCGGGTTGGGCAGTATGTGGTGGATCTGACTTCCTTCGAGCACTTGGCACTTCCGGTCCTGAGGAATGTAAGTATGTGATTTCTGCCTCTTGAGCCCATCTCTTCTTAGTGCCCTATAGGAATTGCTGTCCTGGGAGCAGGATGGTTTTGATCCAAAGGAGTGGCCAGTTTTGCATTTTACAGTTGAAAAGTTTTCCAGTGATTGAACCTTATAAAAGATATATGCACCATAATTTGATGTCACTCTGAACTACATATAAATTCCTTGTTACACATATTTGGCACATGGAAATATTTTATATTGGGAGGGCTCTGACGCTCAGCTACCATGACTCCCAAAGTTAAGTCTTTACTCTGCCTTCTTCTTATTTATAACTTAACCCTGTTTTCACAGCACAACAAATAAACATTTAGGAAGGGAAAATATCATTATATAAATATAATGGTAAGCACCTAACACATTACAGATGTTCCTCAACTTTCTTTGGGGTTACCTCCTGATAAACCCATCATAGGTTGAAAGTATGGTAAGTGGAAAACACATGTAATACACCTAACCTACAAACCATCATTGATCAGCCCAGCCGACCTTCAGCATGCTCAGAACACTGAAGGTTAGCCTATGGTTGGGCAAGGTCATCTGACACAAAGCCTATTTTATAATAAAGTGTTGAAGATCTCGTGCAATATATTGAATACTGTACTGAAAGGGAAATACATAATGGCTGTGTGGGTACAGAATGGTTGTTAGTGTATTGGTTGTTAGCCCTCATGATCTCGTGGTTTCCTGGGATCTGGGACTCCAGCTCGTGCCCAGCATCATGAGAGATCTTACTGCATGCTGCTTCTAGCCCTGGAAAAGGGTCAAAATTAAAAATCTGACCTACGGTTTCTACAGAACCTATATTGCTTTTGCGCCACCATAAAGTTGAAAAATCATAAGTTGAACCATTCTAAGTCACAGACCATCTGTGGTATACCATATATCACTGTATTATATTGAGATATTCACATACCATACACTTCACCCATTTAAAATACACAATTCAACTTTTTCTAGTATATTCCCAGGATTGTGCAACCAGTCGTCACAATCTAATTTTAGAACATCTCCATCCTTTCAGAAGGAAACCCCATACCCACTGAGCAGTCATTCTTCATTCCCCTGTCCCTCCCAGCCCCTGGCAACCACTACCCTACCTTCTTTGCCTATCAATTTGCCCATTCTGGGCATTTCCTCAAAAGGGAATCACATAATATGGGGTCTTTTGTAACTAGCATATTTCACTTAGCATAATGTTTTCAAGGTTTATCTGCACTTCAGCGCGTATCATTCTTTTTCATGGTTGAATAATATGCCATTGGATGGATATACCACATTTTGTTGGTCTACTCATCAATTAATGGACATTTGGATTGTTTCTGCTTTTTGGTTATTGTGAATAATGCTGCTCTGAACATTTGGGTGCAAGTTTTTGGGTAGACATCTGTTTTCAGTTCTCTTGGCTTACGCCTAGGAGTAGAGATGCTAGGTCATATGGTAATTCTATATAAATCTTTTTGAGGAATTACCAGACTGTTTTCCAGACCCAGCTGCACATCTCCACCAGGAGTGGATGAGGATTCCAGTTTCTTCACATCTTTGCCAATTATGGTCTTTTTAATTTCATCCATTCTAGGAGGTGTGAAGCATTATATGATTTTGATTTGCATTTCCCTGATGACTGGTGATATTGAGCATCTTTTCATGTCCTTACTGGCCATCAGTATATCTTCTTTTGAGAAATGTTTATTCATCTGCTTTGCCCATTTTTAAACTGGCTTAATTTTTATTACTGGGTTGTGAGATGTCTTCATAAGACCTGCATACCAGCCTGTTATCAGATATATGATTTGCCAGTATACTCTTCCATTCTGTAGGTGTCGTCACTTTCTTCATGGTGTCCTCTGAAGTGTGAATGTTTTTGAGAAGTCCAGCTTACCTGTTTTTCTTATGTTGTTTGTGCTTTTTGGTGTTGTATCGAAGAAGACTTTGCCTGACCTAATTTCATAAAGATCGACTCCTGTGTGTTCTTCTAGGAGTTTTATAGTTTTACTGTTACATATAGGCCTGTAGTCTAAAGTAATTTTTGTATATGATGTTAGGTACAAATCCAGATTCCTTCTTTTGTGGATAAATACCCAATTGTTTCAGAACCATTTGTTGAAGACTCTTCTCTTTCTGTGTAATTTTCTTGGGGCTCTTGTTGAAGTCAGTTGACCATAAATACAAGGATTAATTTGGACTCTGAATTCTGTTCCATTTTTCCTTATGTCAGTTCCATCTGTTCTTAGGTCAGTGCCACACTGTCTTTGTTAGTGGAATTAGGATTTTAATAGGGATTGTATTGAATCTGTAGATGAATTTGGGGAGTATTGCCATCTTAGCAATATTAAGTCTTTTGATCTGTGAATACGAGATCTCCATTTACCTAGATCTTCTTCTTCTTCTTCTTTTTTTTAAGATTTATTTATTTAAGAAAGAGAACATCCACATGTGAGTGGGAGGAGGGAGAGGGAGGGAATCCCAAGCAGACTCCCTGCTGAGTGCAGAGCACGACGCGGGGCTCAATCTCAGGACCCGGAGATCATGACCTAAGCCGAAATCAAGAGTCGGACACTTAACTGACTAAGCCACCCCTACCTAGATCTTCTTTATTTTTTTTTTTAAAGATTTATTTATCTTAGAGAGAGAGAGCACAAGTGGGAGAGGCAAAGGGAGAGGGAGAGAAACTAAGAGTTGAAGTCTTAACCCACTGCTCCACCCAGGCGCCCCTTCTTTAATTTTTTTTTTTTAAGGTTTTATTTATTTATTTGACAGAGAGAGAGACACAGCGAGAGAGGGAACACAAGCAGGGGGAGTGGGAGAGGGAGAAGCAGGCTTCCCGGGGAGCAGGGAGCCCGATATGGGGCTCCATCCCAGGATCTGGATAATGACCTGAGTCGAAGGCAGACGCTTAATGACTGAACCACCCAGGCGCCCCTTTAATTTTTTTTTTTTTTAATAATATTGTTTTGTAGTTTAGCCTATAAGGTTTATACTTCTTTTTAAAACATTTATACCTTAGCATTTTATACTTGTTGATGCTATTGTAAATGGAATTGTTTCCTTAATTTCACTTTTGGAATTATCATTACTAATGCATAGAAGTACAAGTGATTTTTGTCCGTTGATCTTGTATCCTGTAACCTTGCTAAATTTGTTTATTAGTTCTAAGAGATTTTCCAGTAAATTCTTTAGGGTTTTCTATGTACGAAATTATATCATTTACAAATGGATATAATTTTACTTTTTTCCTTTCCACTTTGGATGCCTTTTATTTCATTTTCTTGCCTAATTGCCCTGGTTAGAACTTCTAGTTCAGTGTTGAGTAGGAGTGGTGAGAATGGACATCCTTATCTTGTTCCTCATTGTAGGGAGAAAGCATTCGATCTTTTACCATAAAGTATGTTAGCTGTGAGTTTGCAGATAACCATTACCAGGTTGAGGAAGTTCCTTTTATTCCTAGTTTGTTGAGTGTTTTACCATGAAGAAGTGTTGGATTTCATGAAATCCTTTTTCTGCATCTATAGAGGTGATTGTGTCATTTTTGTCTTTCATCATAATAATGTAGTATGTTATGTTAATTGATTTTTGGATGTTAAACCAACCTTGGTTCTTGGACTAAATCCCTCTTGGTCATGGTGTATGATTATTTTTTTTTTAATTTATTTATTCATGAGAGAGAGAGAGAGAGGCAGAGGGAGAAGCAGGCTCCCAAGGAGCAGGGAGCCCAATGCGGGACTCGATCCCAGGACCCTGGGATCATGACCTGAGCCAAAGGCAGACGCTTAACCATCTGAGCCACCCAGGTGCCCGTGGTGTATGATTATTTTTATATGTTGATGGATTCAAAAGGATTATATGCAAATCCTTTTATGTATTGCTGGGTTTTTATATGTTTGCAACTATTTTGTTGAAGATTTTTGCATCTGTATTCCTAAGGGATATGGCCTGTAGCTTTCTTGCGATATCTTTGTCTGATTTTGGTGTCAGGGTAATATTGGTGTCAGAATAAGTTGGGAAGTGTCCCTTCCTCTTCTGATTTTTGGAAGAGTTTGTGACATATTGGTATTTATTTTTTCTTTGAATGTTTGATTTACCAGTGAAGGCCTGTGGCCTGGGCTTTTCTTCACGAGAAGCTTTTTAATTACGAACTCAATCTCTTGTATAGGTCTGCTGATTTTTTATTTCTGGTTGAGTCAATTGTAGTAATCTCTCTTTTAGTAATTTGTCAGTTTCATTTATCTCATCTGTTGGCACACAGTTGTTCATATATTCCCCTATAATCCTTTTATTATGTAAGGTCAGTGGTGTTTTCCCTTCTTTCATGTCTTATTTTAGTTATTTAAGTTCTTTCTCCCCCCCCCGCTCCTTTTTTTTTTTTTTGGCCAGGAGAAGGAAAAGGGAAATAGGAAAAGGTTTGTCAATTTAGTCGATCTTTTCAAAGAACCAACTTTTGCCTTTGGATTATATATTACTTGTCTTCTGCATTAATTCATCAAATACTTATCAAATCCTGGATATGTAGTCGTGAACAAAACAGACATGTTTTCTTCTCTCTTAAGACCCTCAGGCGAGGGGGAAATGTAGACCGTAAACAAGTAGGTGTATGTCATTAGCACTGTGAAGGGGACCAGTGGAGTGCTGTGAGAAGTATGAAGAGCTGACTTGAGATCGGGTGGCCAGGACAGAGCTCTGAGGAGGTGACGTGTAGCTGAAATGGGAAGACGAGAAGGCACCGTCACTTCAGAGAGAATACTGGGTGTGTGTGGGGGGGCGGGGGGCGGTTCTTTGGACAACATTATAGATGAGGGGAACGGATAAACTGCAGCCCCACGGTCCTGGGGCAGGAGCAGGTAAAGAAGAAGGTGTGGCTGGTAAAGTGGGTGGGGCCATGTGATCAGGGCCTCGGGGCCTGTATTAAGTACTGTGGGTTGCATTTAATCTGTGATAGACTTACTACTTTGATTAATTTTTGTGGAATT